AGTCATGCTTATTTATCCTATGACAACAAGGGATATTTTGAATGTATAGGTCATAGACTGCTTATTATCGTGAGTGTTTTAATTATTTTACTGCTTATTTTGTTTGAAATTAGTTTACTTTGGGGTTTGCTAGAGATGTTTGAGAGTTGCTTTTTCATAGAAAATGTGGGATTAAAATTGTAATTGTTTCATTTAAAATGCTTAAGAAAGGTCAAAAACTAGGTCAAGGGCAGAGAGCCATAGACTCTTTTGCACTACAGAATTATAGCACTACGATTCCACTTTAAGTATCCTGATTTTTATAGTCTGCTGTGCTACTCAAAGGAGCTGTCTGGCTGGGAATTAGAAATGCTCTTCCTCAACTGCACTTTCACCCCATGCCCTAGTTCATTAGCTAAAATTTGTACTATCCTATTTCTTGCCCCAGTTGGATATGCTTTACGACAGTTCTCATCATAGGTTATGGGCCACTATTTTGGAGGTTAAACTTTGTTTTATTTATCTTTGTTTTTTTGTGTTTTTATTTTTATGGAAGCCACCCCAAGTCCCTTTGAGGAGATTGAGGCAGGGTACAAAAATAAAGTAGTAGTAGTAGTAGTAGTTATTTTATAACTGCAAACACCACAATTTCATAGGATGGGACCATGGCAGTTAAAGTGAAATTATAGCATTATAACTTAGTATTGTGGAAGAGCTCTACTCCTGTTTTTGTTCATTACTTAAGGAAAAGTCCCAATGACAAAGCATCAAGGTAAAACAAGTTAAGGAACACACAAGAGTCAGTCACTTATGGAGGTTTAAGAACAGAGGGGAGAGGCAAGGGTGGCTGGTCTTGACCTGTCTGCTGCTAACAAATAATCTAGGGTAGTTAGGTTTAAAATAAACCTATTAAAAAGAATTTTAAACTCATCTTGGAAAGTATTAAAAAGTCAGGGTATATTACAGCTCTATAGTGTACCTTAACAAGAGTATTATAGATATCAAGTACATGTTTGAACTCAGGGGTGGTCAACACATGGCCGCAGGGCTATTGGAGGCTCTGATGTTCTTGTGGGCTTCAGACTGCCTCCAAAATGGCAATTTCCTTTTTAAATAGGTCAGAGAGCACCCCTGCATGGTTTTATACTAAAAGCAATTCCCCAAATCCTCTCATTTTTCAAAACCAGAAGTGTTCTTCCACCTACATCTGACTTTGTTTTTTGTTTCATTTTTAATTTGTTCCCCCAACACAGAATTGTCCCCAGGGCCTGTTTAAGTTGCATCCTCCTGCCTTTAAAAAAGAATCCAATGCAATGTGCAGCTACAGTCAAAAAGATCTTAGGGCTCAATAGCAAGGGAACTGAAAATGAAACTACTGTATTGATATCTAGTTCCCAACCTTGGGCCTCCAGGTGTTTTAGACTTCAGCTCCCACAGTTCCTAACAGCTGGTAAAATGGCTGGGATTTCTGGAAGTTGAAGTCCAAAACACCTGGAGGCCCAAAGGTTGGGAACCATGTTACATTTGGTATTATTTGTTTACAAGTTGTTTCCAATTTATGGTGACATTAACTCAGGATTTTCTTGGCAAGATTTTTTCAGGAGGGTGTGCCATTGTCTTCCTCTGAGACTGTGACCCCATCTACACTGCCATATAATCCAGCTTCTGAATCAGATTATCTGCATTGAACTGGATTATATGGCAGTGTAGACTTGTATAATACAGTTCAACACAGTTAATCTGCATTCTGAAACTGGATTATATGACAGTGTAGATGAGGCCTGAGAGAGTGTAACTTGGCCAAGATCACTATGGACTTAATCACACTGCAGGCATCCCTCCATGGCAAAACAGCAGGGATGAATGTTGACTTTGTCGTCCTGTGTGCCGCTTCACCACACAGGGAAAGCATTGCAGAAGTGGTATGGATCCATACTGGCTCCATTGAAGCAAGCACAACACGGGCCAGCTATGGTGTTTAGGGGCAAGCTTACTAGGATACTTCCACTTCAATTGTGGGTGGCACCTCCACTGGAAATCCAGTGAAGTTGTGTGATGGACAGCTGGGTTGGTGGGGAAGTGTCCCAGGATACTAAAAAGGTCCTGTGTGATGAAGTGGTTAGTGGGTTTCTTGGGGGGGGGGGGTTAGGAACCAAATAAATTTATTGCTCTTAAAGGGCTTGTAAACCTGACTGCATTTCTTCTTCTTTCTTTTTTTTATCAAAACCATGTTTATTATGTAGCAATAGGCAGTGTAAATTTTGTGTAGGTAAAACATACACAACTATACTTACACAATATACTTTTACATACACAATATACATACACAATATACTTTTCAAGCAATGATTATAATTAGATTTGTTCTTTGAAAAGTTTTAAATGTTAGTATATTTTGAGGACATGTTTTACTTTTTTTGTGTCAACAGGCAGATTTCTGTGCAGAGGTTAATTAGGGAAAATCTTAATGTTAAGCAGTAAATAAAGGTTCTAAAGGGATTGTTCTGTTTAATTGGTAATTCCCTTCTTCCAAAAGATGGGTGCTGTTGAGTTGCTGAAAAAAAAAAACAAAAGGACCAGCCACAAAATAGTACAGCAGGGAAAAAGAAAGAAAATACTTTAGATGCATAAAATATTTTATATGTATCAATGAAAACCATCCTTGGGCTACAGGAATTTATTTTGAATATTTCTAATTTAAAAAATTCTAGTAGCACATGAAGTTTGAGAGAGATTGCATTGCTGGACATACTCAACAAATTGGGTTATTGTGCCTCTGGGGGAGGTTTCCACTGAAACGTTTTGGATATGCTACCATTTTTTAAATTTCCCAGATATTTTTATTAAACATTTACTAGGAAAGTAGGGGGTGGAGGGGGGCAAAGGAAGCAAAAGAAAAAAATTGGGGATAATAGATTAATTATTGGTTAGTTGCTTCTTTACAAATATCTAGTATGTCATGAGGAGAAAACAAAGAGGGTGAAGGTTGGGTTGCTGTGAGTTTTCCAGGCTGTATGACCATGTTTCAGAAGCATTCTCTCCTGATGTTTCACCCATATCTATGGTAAATATTCTCAGAGGTTGTGAGATCTGTTGGAAACTGGGCAAATCAGATTTATATATATGTGGAATATTCAGGGTGTGCGAAAGAACTCTTGTCTGCTTGAGGCAAGTGTGAATGTTGCAAATGGCCACCCTGATTAGCATTTAATGACCTTGTAGCTTCAAAGCCTGGCTGATTGCTGCCCGAGGGATCCTATGTTGGGAGGTGTTAGTTGGCCCTGATAGATGCTCATCTGGATTTCCCCCTTTTTTGAGTGTTGCTCTTTATTTACTGTCCTGATTTTAGAGGTTTTTAAAATACTGATAGCCAGATTGTATTCATTTTCATGGTTTCCTCAACAAGGTGGCAAATTACAACATTCACACTTGGCCCAAGCAGACAGTTTATTTATTTACAGTATTTATACCCCATCATTCTCATCCCAAAGGGGACTCAGAATGGCTTACAGAACACACAGACAGCAAACATTCATTGCTGATTATACAATTAACATGGTCAGACAACACAAACAGAGACAAAGGCAGTTTTTCCCATCTTATTTCTGGCATCTTAGAGGCTATGCTCGACTCCAGTTATGGGGGTGGGGGAGAACTGTCATTCCATCTTCCATGCTGAGGAGATTTCCTCCGATCAATGTCCTTGAGGGTGCCTTTATTACCACCCTGCTACAAGCGGTACCTATTTTATCTACTTGCATTTCTGCTTTCGACATGCTAGGTGGGCAGGTGAGCTGGGTCTATCAGCAGCTGCTCAAGACCAAACCAGGCTCAAACGGCTGTCCCTCAAATCAGCAGGATTTTTCTGTAGCACAGCAGTTTATCCTGCTGTGCTAAACCTGGCATACAAGACTTCTTTCAACCACCCTGGACATTCCACAGATATAAAAACCTCACTTACCTAGTTTCCAACAGACTTCACAACCTTCTACCTGCCATAGATGTGGGCAAAATATTAGGAGAGAATGCTTCTAGAACATGGCCATACAGCCCAGAAAACTCACAGCAACCCAGTGATTCCTGCCATGAAAGCCTTCAACAACACAGGATGAAGGCTGTTGAGGCATGGGGAGTTCTTTTACAAAATTATCATTTTTCCAGCAGTCTCATGTAGATATTAAAAACCATGGGGGAAAGACTGAAGCCTTGTGGGACCCCACAGGTCAATGGCTATGGGATCCAAGCAGGTGTCCCCCAGCTTCATCGACTGGGTGTGACCCTCCAGGAAGGAGCGGAGCCATTGCAAAGCAGTGCCCCCAAGACCCATTCTGGAGAGCCACCCTAGAAGGATACCATGATCATAGAATCATAGAATCATAGAATCAAAGAGTTGGAAGAGACCTCATGGGCCATCCAGTCCAACCCCTTGCCAAGAAGCAGGAATGTTGCATTCAAATCACCCCTGACAGATGGCCATCCAGCCTCTGTTTAAAAGCTTCCAAAGAAGGAGCCTCCACCACACTCCGGGGCAGAGAGTTCCACTGCTGAACGGCTCTCACAGTCAGGAAGTTCTTCCTCGTGTTCAGATGGACTCTCCTCTCTTGTAGTTTGAAGCCATTGCTCCGCGTCCTAGTCTCCAAGGAAGCAGAAAACAAGCTTGCTCCCTCCTCCCTGTGGCTTCCTCTCACATATTTATTCATGGCTATCATATCTCCTGGTATTGAAAGCTGCTGAGATGTCCAAGAGAACCAATAAGGACACACTCTCCTTGTTGAGCTCTCTGCAGAAGTCCAAGAATCCCTGGAGCTTAGATGTAGTTGTGACCTCTATGTTGTAGTTTTAAAATAGGCTACAACCTATTTAGGTTGGTCTATACAGGAATATTCATCATGATGGTTCGATATTACCTCCAAGATGAGAGACAGGATATCATAGTCACACTGCAAAAAACATTTTAGAATATTCTACATTGTTTTTTTTATCAAGTTGTGTTATCTAAGCAGGAAAGATCCACAGTATACCTGGAAAATTTAATGGCAATTCAACTGCACTTGGGCATGGGCTGGCATCATCATTTTCACTATTTGTTGCAAGGAGCTTTTTTACTTTCAATCCAACAATTTTAATCAGGTCTCCTGTTGACAAGCAGCATTCGTGGTCATGTCTTTCATGCACTGGATCTAAAAGAGACCACAAAGATAAATTAAGATGTTTTAGTGATGTTACACCCAATTCTTCTGTAAAGATTGCTCTCTCATTAAACCTTGATGAACCTTTCCCACATCAGTGTACAATGTTTGTTATTGTTGTGTGCCTTTGAGTTGTATTGACCTATGATGATCCGAGGCAAACCTAGGTACAGTGATTTCTTGGCAAGAATTATTCAGAGAGGTTTGCCATTGCCTTCTTCTGAGATTGAAAGAGTATGATTTACCCAGTGGATTCATGGCTGAACAGGGATTTGAACCTTGAATCCCAGGGTCAAACCACTACACCATGCTGGCTTCCTACAAATATGTAATGTATAAAGTTTAGATACTTTACATTTGCTTTAGACATTAATGTTAAGGTCCATCATAGAAGAAACATTTTGAGACATGATAGTCTACTCAGAGCTTGGAAGAAATACATTACAAAAAGCCAAGAGGAATGTGGCTTGAATTTTACACTCAGTCAGCATCCTGTACCACCTCGGAGGACAGAAGCCCAATTTAAGGGGTGCAGAAGACGTCACGTGTTTAAATGAAACTGTTGCTGGCAGTCACATGGATCTGAGCTTTTGCCGTAGATAATGAGGAAGCACTGTTGCTGACTGTAATCACAGCTCAAGGAAGAAAACCACAAACCACAGACATATATCTCTTCCTATTTCACTATTATTGTCCGCATAAGGCAGTGGAAAGAAAGAGATACTCAGACATAGAGAACCTGGCCTGACAGCAGCAGAGTAATCTCCAATGGGAAATCGATCCCTTTACTAGTATCCCAAGCTGCAGCTAGAAAGATGAACAAAGGGAACTTATCCATCTCTGCTGGTTGAGAGAGGTGTTGATGGCAGCAGGAAACTCTTCCCTCACCATTAACTAAAGCATTGCTGTTATCACTTCTTTTAATGTGGCTTATATGCACTCTTCAACCTCAATGAACAATCTGTTTTGTATTTCAAATTCCATATCTGGTTTTTGGCGGGGGGGGGGGGGGGGGGGGGGGGGGGGGGTTGTACTTATATGCCTAGCAGCTACATGGAAAGATTTAATGATGCTCATATTCCATTCAAGACAGGAATTGTGGTCCTGGGCTTTATCAGTTTCCCTTCCAGTGAAAACATTTTGGAACTGTATGTTCCATGATACTATAGTATCCTCCCACCCCTTCTTACCATCTGCTGTATCTAAATTGGTTACTTTTCATTTCCTAATGCTTTGTTTCTCAGTTAAAACAGAGGTGTTTGCATTGTATGTGGCATTATTATTAATTGTAATTGTAGGATTGCACAATAATAGCTGACAGGGGGGACAGTCATAGGTGAGTGCAAAGAAGGCAGCTGTCAGAGACTGAAGAGAAAAAGAAAATTGTGGAAATCGTGTGCAATAAGAAACAACATTATTTGCAACCTGTTCTTTGGAAGAATCTTAATTTCAAATCTTTAGCTTTATTTTATTTTCTAGTGAATTTGCTACCTCTCTGATTCTTAAAACTCTGATCAAACCAGTCAGGGTGGGGGTAGTTTATTTTTTTTCTCTGCAAACTAATTTTTGTTTCCCAAATTTATTGCGGCATGCCCTTGTTTCCCAAGTTGATATGTTGTGAGCCCTTTAACATTCTGCTTCCTCAGCTGACATTTTGACCTTGCTTATCTTCCTGTTTCTGGGTCAAATGTCTTGATATCTTTCTTATAACTAAACATTGGCCTCTAAACTGTTAAACTTTTTTGCCTGAAAATGACACACACACACACACATTTTAGGATATGATAAACAATAAACTAAAAACACGCATGGTTGTTCTCTCACTCTGTACCAATCTCTAGGCTGGCACCAACTGAGTGTTCCTAGTGCATTTTTAAAGGTTCTTCAGTGTTATCTTTTTCAGTGACACCAGCCATTGCAGTTTCCTTATTCCATTAATGCTGTACTTTAAAAAAAAGATGCTTAATAGGGTTTTGTCCAATTTTTATCCACAAGGAAGTGATATAAGTTATGTTTAAAAAAACCTTTAGGTTAGTCTTTTTCCTTTTGCTCATGTAAAATAAATATATAGCTCTTACTCTCTCAGTTAAAACTTACACCCACCTCCACACCAAGTTTCTTAATATTGTAGTCAATACTTATTTCAAACTGTTTGTTGAAATATACATGCTTTGTATAGAGTGTTAACTAATTCAGTCCACTGGGCCATATGGAAGGCTTTACTGAAAATCTCTTCCTCCACCTCTAAGTCCTAATCCAGTTACAGTTGTTTTAAAGTTTTTTAAAATGATTTCCAATATTAAATCTTTCTATATTACAGTTATAGACCAGCATAAGGAGAGTGGGGTACAGTGTCATAAAAGTACAATACATTAAAATCATTAAAATCTAGGCTAAAAGGTAAAATACAGAACTATATTAAAAAAGCTAAAACACAAGATACTAATAAAAAAACAACTTCCAATATTGTACTGTCGCTAATTTTGGGGTATGGCATCAATCTTGGTGCTTTCCTATTTAAGCCTAAACTCCATAGCTAAAAACTATGTCTGTATTATCTGTATGCATTGTTCTAGAATAAGCTAGTCAACAATTTATGTCCTCCTGTAACCCCCTGTAAAGAAATAGCTGTGTTAGTCTTCATCAGTATGCAAGGAGATCTTGTAGTACTAATGAAATTTAAAAGGCTTCTTGATAGTCTAAAATAACCCAGAGAGCCCCCAAAACATGAAAAAGCCTATCTACACCTAGAGGATGCTGGAGGGAAATTTAGAAAAAGGTGGGAGTGGTGGTGAAGGGCTCTTGGGTCTTACTTACCTATTTTACCTTGGGCCTTGGTGACCAATATACTCCGCAGTGTGCCCTTAGCCCACTCCCAGTATAGTATTTGCCACATAGACAGAATATCAGGACTAAATACATGAGAGGCAGAAAGGGAACAATTAGGTCCACTGCCTAGATCTGCCCAAGATCACCTCCCACTGAGATCTTTCCTGTAGACCCCATAACTGCAGGACTTCTGGTTTCATGTATCCACACTTAGGTAGAAATGGTCCCTCTAGACACTTTCTAGGTCCTTTAGGTGATTCTATGATATGTTTCCTCCAGAAGATACTATGAGTTGTGATGGAGAACACAGTAAATTTCTACATCCTTATGAACCTCTAGCTCCTCCAGTGTAATTGCATGGTACGTTAGGACTGGAAGTGAGGTAATTTAATGGCAATCAGACATATCCACAGTTTCATATAACTACAGTCTACCAGGAACATACCTATATTGCTGTACTCCAGATATGTGGATCTTATTGAATCTCCAACTATTCTACATGGGCGCAACAGAGGAAGAGATAAGGCAACAAGGTGTTAGCTCTTCCTTTAAAGCTGTTTGGTGCCTCTTCTCTTAGAATTTGTCAATATAAATAGCCAATCCATTACAACTCGGAAAATGAGAAGCTCTTTCTTAGCTTGGGCAGGATTAAATGCTTTTTGTTTCCGTTTCTCACTTGATGGTCTTTCTCAGTAGATCTGGGCATTTTAACAATTACATTTTGTTACGAACTGGTATTTGCTGATAGGAACTTGGGAGGAGTTCATTACTTTGGCTTAGAAATGCCAAAGTGAAAACTGAAGGCAGCTCTTCTACTCTTAATGATTGTGTAAAAATATGAAATCCATCAGGTGTTACTTGTTACCTGGTTACATGAAAATCAATGCTTACTGAAATTCCCTCTTCTACACCATAATTAAATGTCTTCTCCTGTTTCCTATCTGGCATCTTTAGCTTAGAGTACCAATGTATCATAAATTCACAGAGTTGGAAGGAAAATAAAAATAAATATATTAGTCCATCTTAAAATTGTTTGGAATACTACGTTTGGGGTAAATATGCAAATTTCAGGCAAGAAACAGAAGTGTGAATAGATAGGAATCCAACCAGCCTTTAATCAAGTCAGTTTCCTGACAAAGTGAATCATCTCCAAAAACATGACCCAATTTCTCCCTTGCTTTCATTGATGACACCTGACATTACAGGCAACTTACTGGCATAGATTATACTGTGCGTTCTGCATTCCCATGTAATGCCAAGTATACACATGGGGGAAAAACAAATGTATCACCTTTCTTATTGTCATTATGCAAATTTCCTGTGTTTTTCTGTAAAAAGGAAGCATAAAATCCATCAAAGACATAAAGGTAATTAAGCAGAAGAACTGATTCCTTCTTTCAAGTGAAAAACGATGTTACACATCCATCGTAGAGGAAACTCAAATAATGCAGCCTATTTACGAGGATCAAACACTGTCCCTGGAGGTGGGAATTAAAGAACTGGATGTCTTTGAAACCACCTTTTTGAGACTGCAGCTCTGTTCAGAAAGAACTCCATTTATATCTCTTTATAAGCTCTTCCCTGATTTTACAAATCCATATTAGCTGCTGCTGTGATCACATCAAAGCAGCCAAACAATTGGTTCAATAGCTTTTGCTTCTGATTTTTCTGAAATGTTAAATAGGGTGTGCACATGCATGTGATCATGCACGCACACAGCCAGGGATGAGAGTGATTTTTCTCTGATTTCCCATTCATTAGGTTTTCAAGTAATTGTAAATTTTAGATAATTTTAGAGCAATATATTTCCCACCACTGCCTTATGGAAGAGTGATTGTGGTCAGTAATTTTCAAATGGTAATTTCAAACTTAGATTTCATATCAAGTATCAAATATTTCTGTTTCTTACACAAATGTGTTTTTAAAAGCTATATTTATTAAGTTTTACATGTTTTAAAATGATACCCCCTACAATAGATGTTTACTAAGGGCCCTTCCACACAGCCATATATCCCAGAATATCAAGGCAGAAAGTCCCACAATATTGGCTTTGAACTGGGTTATCTGAGTCCACACTCAGATATTGTGGGGTTTTCTGCCTTGATATTCTGGTATATAGGGTTGTCTGGAAGAGCCACTAGAAGCAAGTCCAGTAGGTTATT